ATTGAGTGATAGTTTATATGGGAGAACATCAGCTTTACATTCATCCTATTGTATTTTGTTTCATTGCAATGATTTCAATCCCCTCCATGAAACATCATTCGACAACATTTGCTGCCAATCTGTTGGGTTGTTGTTTTTTTTTTTTTAATGTTCACTGAGACACTCAGAAACATAAAAGCATTGAAACAACCAAAGGGTATACCCTGCATTCCAGCACCCAGGCCCCCAGCACATTGCCCCTATCCTTCCTGAGTCTAGAGTCCCCAACCGCTCCATCTCTTCACTTCATCATCTTTGTCTCCATCTCTGGCACTGCTGCTTCTCTGGATAGGATCCTGCACTCCTCTCTTCTCCCTTCATGGTCCCAGGGTCCTCTACTCCTGTAGTGCAAGATCAACCACTCTCCCCCCAACCCCTCACCCCCCCAAAAAGTTAAATCACTCCCCTCCTTTTGTTACAAAACGTCTACCTTTACATTTGCAACATTCACAATAAGTACTGATAGCAGTTATTCATTATTGAACCCCAAGAGTCTTATCCCCATCTCCTTTCACCAGCCCTATCTAGACAGGTTGGAAACCACTCAGTGGAGATTCTGCCTTCTTCCGCACCCTCTAAAACTAAGCTCACTCTTGAAAACTTGTAAGCCAGTCACTTCGTGCCTTTGTAGCCCCTCCATTTTGGGTGGCCAATGTCTAAGTGCCCGTCCCTGTCAATCCTTTGTACAGAGGGGGTGGGAATGATCGTTGCTATAAAGATTCATTCCCTCTTTTAAGCTATTACATCCGTAAGTATAGGTCAAGTTCATCATCTTTTTCCTCTTCTTTCTTCCTCTAGTTGAGTTCTGATCATCCAGTTCTGATCATAGGTCAAATGGGGACTATCTGCAAGTATGGGCATTCTTGTGCATCTCCCCTCACTTTATATCAGCTGGACATTTCACTCTTCGTTATAGTCCTCTGTGCATCTCTCTTCACTTTATATCAGCTGGACGTTTCACTCTTTATTCTAGTCCTCTGTGACTTTTTAAGTGTTTTTTTGTCTTGATTGTTGACTTGGTTGCTGTAAATGTTTATCTATCTTTCAATATTCTTTTTTTGTGAATGGGACATCTCCCTGAGGCCCCTATTATACCATTTTCATTGATGTCATTATCAGTGCTCTTTTTTTAAAAAAAAGCATAATTTGATCCAACTTTAGGGACCACTATTATGAAATTTCCATTACTTGTCTGTCAGTTTGTCTTACTCTGGTGACTTGTGAGTTGCTGTGATTATGGAAGCTATGCCACCGGTATTTTAAATACCAGCAGGATCACCCATGGTGGACAGGTTTCACATGAGTTTCCAGATGAAGAACAGACTAGGAAGAAGGAGTGACGAACTACTTCCAAATAGTTAGTCACTGAAAACCTTGTGAATAACAGAGAAACACTGTCAGATATAGTGCCAAAAAATGAGCCCCTCAGGTTGGCAGGTGCTCAAAATGCGACTGGGGAAGAGCTGCCTCCTCAAAATAGAGTTGACTGTGATAACGCGAATGGAGTAAAGCCCACGGAACCTTCATTTGCTGTTGGGGCACAACTCAAAATGAAGAGAAACAGCTGTAAACATCCATTAATAATCAGAACATGGAATGTATGTAGTATGAATCTAGGAAAATTGGAAATTATAAAAAATGACATGGAAGCATAAACATCAGTATCTTAGGCATTAGCGAGCTGAAATAGACTGGCGTTGGACATTTTGATTCTGACAACCATATGGTTTATTATGCCTGGAATGGCAAATTGAAGAGGAATGGAAAAACAGAAATCCTCGGATAATATCTTTGATATTCTATGCGAGTAAAATTTTACTAAAGGTAATTCAGAAACATACATTGACAGAGAACTTTCAGAGGTTTAAGCCGGATTCAGAAGAGGACGTGGAATGAGGGATATCCTTGCTGATGTCCGATGGATCTTGACTGAAAGCTGACAATACCAGAAAGAAAATGAAGAGGACTTAAAATACTTCCTGATGAAGATCAAGGAACACAGCCTCCAGTATGGATTGCATCTCAATGTAAAGAAGACAAAAATCCTAACCACTGGACCATTAAACAACATTCTTATCAACAGAGAAAAGATTGAAGTTGTCAAGAATCTCATTCTTCTTGGATCAACTATTAACACTCATGGAAGCAGCAGTCAAGAAATCAAACAACGTACTGCATTAGGCAAATCTACGGCACAAGACCTTTTTAAAGTGTTGAAGAGCAAAGATGTCAGCTTGAGGACTAAGGTGCGCCTGACCCAAGCCGTGTTATTTTCAGTCACCTCATGCATGTGAAAGCTGGACAGTGAATAAGGAAGACCATAGAAGAATTGATGCTTTTGAGTTATAGTGTTGGAGGAGAATATTGAAAGTGCCATGGGTTGCCAGAAGAACCAACAGATCTGTGTTGGAAGAAGTACAGCCAGAGTGCTTCTTGGTGGCCAGAATGGCCAAATTTCATCTCTCATACTTCGGACACATTACCAGGAGGGACCAGTTGCTGAAGATGGATATCATGGTTGGTAAGGTTCAGACAAAAAGAAGACCCCCATCGAGATTGATCGGGAAGGTTGCAGCAGCAATGTACTTAAGCATGGCAACAATTGTGAGGTTGGCCCAGGACCGGGCAGTGTTTTGTTCTGTTGTGCATAGGGTCGCTATAAGTCGGTATCGACTCGATGGCACCTAACAACAACAATAACAATTATGAAATTTAAGAGCCCTGGTGTGGTGCTGTAGGATGAATAAGCAAGCACAGGACCTCAGGGTCAGTTTGAACCATAAGGTCTGCAGTTCAAATTCACCAGCTGCTCCTCAGAAATCCTATATCGGGTCACTGTGAGTCAGAACCAACTCAATGGCACTTCAAGACAATAAATTATGCAATTTTGGACTTCTGGTGTGGCACTGTAGGATCAGGACTGGACTTTGAATCACAATGTTGGCAGTTCAAACCACCAACTACTCCTCAGAAACCCTATATGGGGTCGCTATGAGTCAGACCGGATTCAACAGCCATTAGTAACATCAACAATAATGTAATTTGGAGTCTTTTTGGTCCTGTAGGATAAGCACTTGGCTACAAGGTTGATTTGAAGTGCATCAGCCGCTCCTTGGAAACCCTGCACATGGTCACTGTAAGTTGGAACTGACTGGATGACACTTAACAGCAACAAAAACAATTATGTAATTAAGCAAGGATCCGTGGTATTGTAGTGGATTATGAATTGGGCTGCTAGCCACAAGGTCAGCAGTTTGAATTTACCATCTCTCTGTAGTTAGTAAGTCCTAGCCAGAGTCCATGTGACTCTTTCTTCTTCAGACCTGTTGGCTTCAAACCTGGTGTTTTCTCTACCCCTTCAGGTAACAACTACAAGCCCAGGAGTCCATATGACTCCCTCCAGTTCAGACCATCTGTCCCCTATGTCCCTTTGGAAACACTGGAACAACTCACAGAAATAATGGAACACACCATATACCTGAAATAACAAGTTTAATACAGCAAAAAAGAATACAAAGGAAGAGACATATAGGACTTTGTCTGGGAGGAGTCCCAGTGCAGATCTTCTATGTCTCCAGGCTACAGGCTTATTTTTCTGAGAGCACATGTTCGTGCTCTCCATCCTGGAAGCTCCATCGAGCCTGTCTTCCAAAGCCTTTATTGATTTCACCATGTGGCCATGATAAATTACATTATGCATCCTGAGGGTTTAGTCAGTAATCATTCCCAGGTGAGCCTCTTCCTGTGTCTTTTAGAAACCCAGAATAAAAGGCCAAATTGCTTTGTGTACCTCACAAGCCTATCACTTAATGATATTTATTAACCATGAAATCTTTTAACCCTACAGAGCAGAAGAAAGAAGAGACCTTTTCATGTTTTTTAGAAGCCTGCACTTATTTGTGAAGTGGTGTGAATTTCGTAAGCGCACATTTAAACATTTCAAGGTACAGTCTTGAATTTAATCATATATGAAAAATGAAACTGGTATTAATTTGAGGATTCTGCCATACCATAACATTCTTTCCTTAAGGGTTTTAAATAATAGAAAATATTTTCCATGACTTCTGGAATTTGTAATTATTTGGAATTAGTAAAGGAGGGAGTGCTTCTATATGAATTCTTGAGACATTTATGTCATGGAATATTTTGTAAAAAGTGCAATTGTATCCTTATTAATTTAAAAATACACATTTAAAAAAATCAATCTGTCAAAGGCATTTAAAGTAAAATGGCAAAAGCTAATGAAAATAATAGTTCTAGTAAACTTATCACATAGCGTGTAATCTTAATTTTCTGAGCCAGAATTTGAGTTTAATTGTAACATTTCATTTTAAATGTTGAAAACTGATTCTTGTGAAATAATTCTTAAGTCTGAGAAGAGTATTTTCAAAGTCTTATTTTAATCCCCCACTCAGTTGGATAACATCAAATTATTAACTGCAGTGATCCACACAAAAATCCGTTCTAAAAGAATGACTGAATAATATCTCAAGTTCTCTTAAAGCCTCTCCAGATTCTGGCTATTGTCTGTTGGGTTTACAATTAAATTTACCATCAAAATTTGGTCTTTGTCTTTGGTTCCTAAGAGATAATGTTTAAATCCTTGTAATTTCCACAGTCCTTTTTTTTCTTGAGAACTTCCAAGCATATCTGAAGGTTTATGCTGATGAATTATTTATATTGATTGGGAGTTGGTCATGTCAAAAAGGTATTAGCCTGGAATTCTAGACCCAGAGAGGGAGAGGGGCTGTGTGCTGATGGCCGAGGGGCAAGCTTGCGGGTTATACCCTTTGGTTGTTTGATGATGCATGGGGGGGATTGTAATCATGGCAATGAAATGATATACAATAGGATGAAATGATATATGATGGGATTAATGCAAAGCTAATGTTCTCCCCAGCGAGATGGTTCAGCCAGGTGGCATCATTGATGGCGTCAAGTGTGGCAGTGGTAGTGAGGTTGGCCCAGGATCAGACGTTATTTCGTTCTGCTGTGCGTGGGGTTGCGTTGAGTCGGTTCCGACTCGATGGCACCTAACAACAATGTTGTCCCATTTAAACTATCACAGAATTCACAATAAACACTTAAAAAAAAAAAGGCATTAGCCTGAACTCGGGAGAAGTGGGGATCGAGATGGAGTTCAACCAAATGGGCAGTAATTTAGTCAGTCAGTCTTGCCTACAAAATGAGACAGCAAGAAAAGCTCTGAACACAGAAATTCTCTGCCTTTATTGGTTGTTGAAAGAAATTAGTGATTTGTCGGGTGATGTGGCACTTTTTGGAACACAGAAGCTTGGCAATCAATGGAATCTCTTCATTGAGTACCCTCTCGAACCTTCCTTGATATTTCTTTGTTTTATATTCTTTTAAGTATAATAAAATTGTAATAATAAATACAGCACTTTTCTGAGTTCTGTGAGTTGATCTAGCACATTGTCAATCCCAAGGATGCAATGAGAATGCCAATTTGTAGCCAGCATTTCAGATGTGAGGGGGTCTGGGGACTCCTGAGCTTATAGCTGGTATCTTGAATGAGTAGAGGGAATTTTTGAATTTGTAGTAGCTGGTAAGAAGTGAGAGTGTCAGAAGGATACCCAAACTTGATAAATATTACAGACTGCAAGATTGTGTGCTTTTAAATATGAGAGAGTTGACCTATCTCTGGTTGTTAATGTCAGAGGAAGAAGTACAGCGATTGCAATTGATATATAGCTAGATAAGCCCTAGTGAGGCACTGTAGGATAAGTACTGGACTGCTAACCTCACTAACCACAAAGTCAGGAGTTCAAACTTATCAGCTGCTCCCCGAAACCCCATATAGGGTCACTGTTAGTTGGAACCGATTCGATGGCACACAACAACAGCATTTAGTTAAGTTGAAAAGGCACACACACAAAGAGACATTCTTTTCTTTAGATTTAATGATTCCATTTTGTTGAGCTGATAAAAAACCAAGACATTGAACCAATTCAGTCATGGTCAATGATGTGAAGTCAGCACATACTCAAAGTTTAGAAATTTCAGTAAAGCAGAATGGTAATTGTAACAGGAAAAATTATTTGGGGTAATTTTAAAGCTCTGGAATTGGTGACTCTGAAGAGGTGAGTTTTTTTCAAAGATACATATTTAAAATGGTACAGTTAGCTGCCATCTTTGAGCAGGTCACCATTGTTTCTGACTCTTGTCAGGCGAGAGATTTGGTTACTATGCAAGGCACACTCTTCCTTTGTTTTCTAAGAGGGAGATTAAGTTCCTAGCAGGGAGTCACCCCATAATTTTACTGGTTCTGATTATTGTTTCAGTCACCACATTTTGCAAATTTGGGTATGTTCTGGTTTTACGTTATGTCTATGACTGAACTAAGCAGAAATGGTTCGAAACCCTGATAACTGTCAGCCATAGGATTTTCCCCAGAATCCTTTGAGAAGCTGTTAGGTGGTAATGTTATGGCTTTATCTAGTATTATTGTGCCCGAACAATTACTATTCCTGCTTTACATTTGGTAAATGCAGTACTGCTTAGGAAGTACGCAGGTAGTTAAAATAACACATAACCTACTTTGATCTTTTACCTGTGCATTTCAGTGGATGTTGGATGATGTTTGTTGTAGTCCTTCGTTTTAGAAGTTGGTTTGCCTTTCTGTGCAGGTTAGAACTATTATTGGTGTGTTTTATTCTATAGTGGACCAAACAGTTTGGGGAGCTATGCTTTGTTGTTGATAAGATTTACTAGAATGGTAAATACAGCAAACCATAGAATTTACGTTTCTGTTTTGAAAGGCAATTGCTTCATGGTGGTGGTGGTGATTGTGTGCTGTTGAGTAGCTTCTAACTCACAGCGACTCTGCATAGGATACCTGAGAGGGAGGCTGTAAATCTTTTCTGAAGCAGAAAACTTCATCTTTCTCCCACAGATTGGCTGATTGACTTGAACTGTTGACTTTGTGGTTAATAGCCCAATGCATAACCCATAATGTAACCAAGGCTCTTTAATTTCTGCATAGGCACTACAATCCTGAGGTTAGTCTTTGCAGAAAGGTCATATTGAAGGTTTTGGACAAACTTCGAGCTTGTGAACATCAGTCTAAACCTGATAAGAGATAAATAGAAATATAAGTATATAAATGGGATTTGACTTTTAAAGATTCAAACAAGGCAGCTGGTGCATGGGGAGAGACATTTAGTGTAGTGATCAAGTTCATTGGTATGAACTCTATTTGGTGAGTCATGTTGGACACAGAACAAAGGTCTGTATGCAAGGTAGTGTGGCTTTTGAAAGCTGATTCTATTACAACTACTATTTTAAAATATTTTATTATCAATAGTTACATCATAAAAATAAGTGTTAAGGGGATTGGAATTACAGCTTTTCGAGTTCACAGTGAGTCATTTTTGTGTACTATTTTAAAATATGAAAGTTTTATGTAATTTTTGTTTGGCTCCAAGTTTATTTAAGTTAAAAATAAAAACTGGTTTATCAAAAGTGACCAAAAAAAACCCTTTATATACACAGAAGTTCTTCCATACCTTACATCACATTTAGCCTTGGGTTTACATATATATCAGATGTGTTGCAGAAAGTTATTTGATATCAACAGAGTGGCTAGCCAGCCACTTAAACAAAGCAGTTGTATGTTATTTGCATACAAAATAGGTTTTTTTTTTGTTTTTTTACTCCTTGTACATTCCCAACGGGATGTGGAAATCATCGGACAATCTCTTTGATATCCCATGCGAGTAAAGTTTTACTAAAGGTAATACAGAAACGGCTGCAAGCATACATTAACAGAGAACTTCCAGAGGTTCAAGCTGGATTCAGAAGAGGCTGTGGAATGACGGCTGTCATTGCTGTTGTCTGATGGATCTTGGCTGAAAGCAGAGAATATCAGAAAGATATTTACCTGTGCTATATTGACTGTGCAAAGGCTTTTGATTGTGTGGATCATGACAAGCTGTGGACAACATTGCAAAGTATGAGTATTCCGGAACACTTAATTGTGCTCATGAGGAATCTGTACCTGGACCAAGACACAGTTGTTCAAACAGAACATGGGAACACTGAATGGTTTAAAATTAAGAAAGGTATGCAACATGGTTGTATTCTTTAAGATTTAAATGAACACAGCAATTCATTTATATATACCAGTTTCTTACCACAAAATGTAGCGGTCCTGAACAGTTCTAAACTCCATGCATTCACAACTAAAATAATGCAATTTCATACCAGTCTAAGTAGTACTTATTTTGTTGTTAAGTGCACTCGAGTGGGTTTTGACTCATGGTGAGCATGTATAGGTTTCTGAGGAGCAGTTGGTGAATTTGAACCTTGCCGTCAAACTGACCTTGCAGTCCCCAGTGCATTGTCTCACTGTGCTACAGCTTGATAAAAAAGCATAAATAATACAATTTTAGTTAAGTAATCATTCTATACATGTTTCCTCCTGACTATGTAATTTTTTTTGCCAATTGAGTTTTGTTTATATTGGCAGAAATTTGAAATCTTTGGGATTTAGGAAATTAATATTACAGATCGTTTTGGGCTCCTGATATATACTACATCATCATTCATTTTATTGCCAGATTTGGGGGGCAGAGATAATACGTACAAGGCCATTTTAAAGGTGATAAATCTGTTTTTAGTACAGCAGCATTAAAGAATTAGAACTGGCTAATAAAAATGTTTAGTAAGTATATAGGAAAATGTTAACACTAATGTAAGAATAGGGAGAAGCATAGATAAATTCAGTTGGATTGTGCTTTGCTTTATGGTATATAAATTTGTGTTGAACAAAGCACTTTATGGCTTTTTCATTTTTTAAAAGAATTTTTAGAAAATGTAATTTAATGTTAGAGAGTCAGACTTGAAACAAAGATGCCTCAAATATCAATAAGTTTATGAAACAAGGTTAAAAACAAATGTAATATGTAAAAACAGGTTTGTTTTA